ACTGAAGTACTAATACTTCACGAAAATAACAATTTTCGTGAACTATTAGTACTTAAGTATGTAAAAATTTATTACATTTCATGTTGTATGAGGGTTTACCCATTTCTCGAACCGTGTCAGAGTGAATCCGTGTTATAAAAGTACCGTGTTATACGGGGGATGGTACCAATTCTCGAACCGTGTTAGAGCGAATCCGTGCTATAGAAGTGCCGTGTTATACGGGGGTTACCTGTATTTTACTTTTCTGGATATTATATAGAACAGGGAAAGTACGGCGATCGGTCAAAAACTGACTCCCTCCAAAATTTTTACATTTTTTGGAATCGGGACCTTGAAACACCCAGATATGCAAAAATTGGAAGATTCCTGTATGGATTTTGTTCATCCATTTGGTAACTTAATAACTCGCGTGCCTTTCTTCGAAAATTTCTGTAATTTGACAGGGAAGTTCGCTTATTAGGGGGATCGATGCTATTAAATTTCGGCGGTTAAAGGTCCAGGGGATGGGAAGATGGAAGGGATAGTGTGTTAATGACGATTTTACTCGTTATTAGCATCTATAATTATCTATAAAACTTGTCTCCACCCTGAAAATTAAGCTTTTTGTTATTTTATAATAATAACTTAAATTTTTTTTACATTATTAATCTGGTAACAGATGGCGCCACGCGCAATTTTAATTGTTGCTGGAAAAAGCGCAATTCGTTGCTGCATTTTGTTATTGGTTTAATGTCGGTGTATGTTTTCAACAGTTTTACGCAAAATGCATAAAACTTTTGCGCACAGGTACACGGCAAGGTGACAGGTGGGCCATCTACCGAGGGAGGATGCCTCCCGGGGGCCCTGTAAGGGAAACAGGCCTATTTAGATGTTACAAGAGTGAAGAAAATCCGGAAAGCTCTACGTGGCCGGGCACGAACCCACGACCAACTGCCTGGTTTTTATCTGGTTAGCCGAAATTTTGGTCGGTGGCCGGAGCGCAGCCCTAGAATTAACCCACCTCTATTATAAATGACCTATTTAAAATATTTGGAAATATTCTACATTAATTACAATTTAATAAAGTACTTTAAATGCTTTTTTTTAAGCAAGGTAAGTACAACTTGTTTAAATTATCGTGTACACGAGCGTACATTGATACAGTGCTCCCGAAATTCGTGGCATTGGCACTCGAGAGAGAAACACGTACGGGCATCTCTAACTAAATATAGAATCCCGTATTTGAAATTATCTGTAACCGTAAACAAAATGGCGATATTGAGTACGTAACGTAAATATTTAAGTATAATAATCGGTATGCTATCTTTTGTAAATATTTCTTACGCAGCGTGTTTAATATAATTAACAGAAATATTTTGAAGTTGGTAATGAATAAAATTTAAATGTTTTGGTTAAAAATTAAAAAAATAATAATTACGATTCATTATCAACCATAATAATAATAATAATAATATATATATATATATATACACACACACACTGCACTATTGTTAACTCGTAATTATAGTAATATTAAAACAGTAAAATTTAATATGGAAGGTCTTATTGCAGGCAATTATGACTCCAGCCTACTGGGGGTCCTAGATCGCATCGATGACCACCCCAGGAATTTTTCGTGGGCGGTGGGTTTCATCCCTCCACTCCATTATGGGCTAGGTGGTGAGGGATGACCACCTGGCCCATAATGGAGCGTGGTGAGGGACAGCCATAACGGTGAGGGCTTTTACCATGCCATGAAGGGTATGACGAAAGGTTTACTTGGCGGAGAGTCAAAAAATGAAAAAAATAATTATAACAATTGGTACATACCAATAACTGTAAACCGTTCAATTGTTTACGACGGCTTCAGAACTTTCTGCTTGGAGTGAACACTGATACACGATTTTATATTAGTAGACAAGTGGGAAAACAGAAACAGTTCAGAAGTATTTGTTTACTTAACGATAAAGGAAATTCTTCTCTAAGTAAATTCTATAATCGCATAGTTCTAAACGGTTCCGAATTCGTTTACGAACATTCCAACACTCGGAAACGAACGCTTAAAATATTAATTGTGTGGTAAATCTTGGAAAATATTTCGTATATTGTCGATTAGAATCGTAGACTTTTAATGATATCGGGCATAAAAATCCAATGTTTCTTTTGCTATTTCTGTATAAACATCTTTTAGGCGTCGTTTAGGCTTCACGAGTAATTGACGATACGGAAAGAATTTTCTCAATTAAAATCTTATATAAACAAAATACAGTATTAAATTTATTTATGAAGCTAGTCGCATGCCAGCACCCTTTTCTAAATTCGAATTTATTAGAATTTGTGTACATTGCATAACTGTGGCATACACAGGAGTAGATATTATTTTTAAACATTTTTTCGTTAAGAAACTTTCGGTTTGGTTTCGCTTTGGTTTTATTCGTGTGGGGCAACGCGACACGTGGGCGAGCTGCGAGAGGGAGGACTTTCCGCGGTAAACTGCCCCTTTTACGTGTAACGAACGTGAAGAAAGCATCACTGGTGGGCTCCAAACTTTTGGCATTTGGTAATTCTAAATGTTTCAAATTCTTTTTCTTTGGATAATTGGGTCATGCAATGTCCCGACATCCAGAGACGCCCGGAGGGTGGACAAAAGGATCAAATTGCCCTGGGCCCTAAGAGATTTCTTTTAGGGACCTACGTAATTGTTTTTCATTACTTCCTTTAATTTAATATAATAATTTAATTTACTACAGGGCTTTCAATACGTATTTTACCTCGGGCCCGCTTACCCTATTGGCCACCATGACGACAGCTATGAGGATATTTAAATTCATAAAGTTGCAGCGTTTGGAACGAAACTTTGCTTTTAATTTTTAATATTTTTATTTAAAAAAAAGATACGAAAGTTTTTTTTTAATTATTGAAAAATTCGTATTGTTGTTTTAAATTCTTGCCGCTAGTCGGCGGTATGACTATGATTTTGAGGTTCCTGCAATGAATTATTGGAGGCCTTATCGAGCAAAGCAGATTGAAAATCAATTTTTTTTTTTTTCAATCCTCCTTTCTGTATATTTGAGGGCAGAGAAAACGGGACTTCAAAGGCATCACACTGCGGCTCTGAGGTACTCTAGGTCGTAGCCACCAGGAATTTACAATGAGGGCTATGTCGGGCCTAGCCAAATTTATCTCAAGCCGGGGGGAAAGGCTCTCTTAGTGTTGGGCAGGTTTTCTTCACGCGTCTAACGCCAAATCGGGGCCAGTTTTCCCATAGAAATCCACAAGGGAGGCAGTTGCTGCTTTGTCTCATCCTACACAACAGCAAATTTTTCTCGAAAAATCATTAAACGAATTTTATGATTTTGTAAGATGGTTAACTAAATATGGAGATGCGTTAACTAAGCATCACCATATTTAGTTAATCACACACCACATTTGCATTCGGGAAGCTTCTGAAAACGGGACGACACCTCGCCACATCCTGCAATTATGGCAACTTCGTGGAAGAAAGCTAAACGTTGTAGCCACTAGTGAAAGGAAACTGCATATTATTATTTTTTTCTGTGAAGAATTAGTAAAACAAAGATACACAACATATTTTAACAGGTAATTTTTTAAATTTTTAGTTATTATATACCTATATATAACAGTTATTATTTTACTTCTTTATATATAAACAGGGGCGAGTTATCCTACGGGCAAAAACGGCAATTGCCAGGGCCCCCAACAACTGGGGATGCCAAGCCAATCTTTTATAATAAAGTATTTCTCCAAAAAATTCCCCCCCCCCGAAGTCTGTAAAGTCAACACTATACACGGGCCCCTAATTCAAATTTGCCTGGGACCCACGGAGCTGTAACNACAAGACTGCAACAGATACTGATTGAGGATCATTTAATATTATTCAGTTAAAGAATCAAAATTTAAGAACTAATTTTTAATTGGATAGATTGCAGTTTCTTAGAGTGAAATACTGTATATCTCCAAATAATAAAATAAAAGTTAGAAAATTATCTTTTGCAAGCTAAATTTTTTCAAACTTGCATTGTATTTGTATCAGACTGGAAGTCTGCAAATGTTTAATGTTGACATCTGTGCCATTTGTAAGAAATGAGAAATGCTGTTTTGCCATTCTGCACAGTGGCATAGCTGAAATTTATCTCGACTTCCTCCCGGTGCCATTTTTCAACAAGATGGGGCCCTGTCCACTTTATGATTCAGATATGACAATTTTTGAATGGCATTTTCCTGACAGCAAATTGGAAGAGAAGTCAAACCACTCTTATTATTTCTTAGTTCATCATATTATTAGCATATCCACTTATGAGGAGAGTAAACAAGTCTAATATGTATCCATGGTTATTTATAATACATTTATTAACAATATATTTATAATACATAGTTATATGTATCAATATTATAAATGTATTGTTCAGAATGAGTAGATATTTCAGTTAAAAGAGTGACATCGCTTTTCCATATTGTCTTCTACTATAACTTGTTTTGTTTTGAGATTGCAACTAATATCAAAAGTAGTTATACTTTTGATATTAGTTGCAATCTCAAAACAAACATAAAATTTTCTTTTAAATATCATGATTCATTATAAATCACTTGTAGCAAAATAATGCAAATAAATTCAATGGCAAGAATATGACAGATTTTAATTAGAGACAATTTGGTAATTAAGCATTATATTTGCATCCAGTTTAAATGCAATAGCAAAAGAGGCAATTTATAGCAGTGATTATTTATTATTATTTATCTTTATAGAGAAGTAAAAGATCCGAGATATTTAACAGAGAAAATATCTACCAAAGCTGCGAAAGAAATGTACGAACATACATTGAAGATCGAAAGTGAATATAAACACATTATAAATGGTAAGTAATTTTAATTAAGTCTTATATAAACATTTTTTTATGCAACCATTTCTTTCCACAAACAGTATAGTGTTACATTTTTAGCATATATACAAGTAATTGGTTGATAAAATTTAAATTACAGTAAAAGTTCTCTAACTCAAAGCTCCAAGGAGCAGGAAAAAACTGAGTCAGACAACAATAGAAGCAAAGCATGCTGATTCTGAATAGATCTTTCTCTCTTTTGCATAACATGCAAAATCTTTGATAGGCTGTTTAAAACAAATAACCCTTTCAGTAAAATGTTTAATGTAACTAATGGAATCAAGCAGTTTTGCAGGTACATCTAGTCGAGATAAAGCGAGATCCTCTCACTTTGAGGACTGAAACATTGACTGAAAGTGGGTGTCGAAAAGTAGATACAACTAAATGCCTGAGAATTTCATGGAAATTCGACAATTATGATCACTTTGATAGAATAAATCTGTTCAAAGTTATCCTAATTATCGAATTTCCATGAAATTTCCATGAATCAACTCAAGGAAATTCAAGATGGAGATGTTAAATTCCTTTGCCATTCCACAGAAACCTATGGAATGCTTTGTTTTTCTTGGAGTCAAAGAAATATTCCAGTTACAGAAGTTTTACTGTGTTATGGTTAAAATCAATTAAGTGAAACTAGTTAAGCTTGAAATACATTATGCAATAGTTCAAATGCATTTGATTTTATACTAATTTGATAAAACCTTTTAATTAAGAATCAAAAAAATACTATGATGATATAAAATGCCCCATTGTCCCAGCTAATGTTAAACAATTTGGATAATTGTTTTTTAATATTATAATTTAGTTGTTGTTGATAAGAATAAAATTAACCTAAAAGACAGGATGTGTTTCTGGTAAAAATTCTATAGAAACTTTCTTTCCTATAAAAATCTGAAATATAAGTAAGTTTAAAACGATTAAGTTTATCATTCTTTGACATTTTACCGTAAATTTATTAAATGCACATTTTTAAGAAAGATTCTTTTCAGCTGTGATTCCCGGTTCGAATTTGGCTTACATGTGCACACAAATTAAAACGTGCGTCGAAGACGAGCAGAGTAAGACTTTGTGGGTGCCTTGTGGAAGTCTCTAACTACTCCCTATTAATTTAAAACCTTTCCCCAGTGATTTTAATAATTAAGGACGAGACCATTTTCTTTTAGAAAATAGAAAGATTAGAATATTCCATTCATTTGACGAAAGAAAATCAATGGAATTTGGAACGGATCCTCTTTTGGGCTGTAAAAAATCATTAACAGTATTCGAATGCTATTCTTATTTTGATAAGTGAATGTTAAACATAAAAAAAAAAGACAGACAATAAAAACTTTCCGTGTCACGTGATTCAACGTTTGCATAAATGCTATTTGAAGATACGACGAGTATAAACGAATAGTTTTTATAATCCCTCGAATTTGTGTGATCTTCCCTTTTTTTATTGGTGCAATGAAGTTCCTTGTAAATTAAATGTCAAATTTATAGTCAGACTATTTTACAACAGATCTATGTCCTGCCACACGACTCAAATTGGTTGTAAATATTATTATTAAATAAAGTTTTAATGAAGTTTTAAATCGTTTGTGGACTCCTGATTGGTACGACGAGGGATGGAATTCTTTTATTATATTCGTACAGGTCTGCGTAAACGGTACACCGGGTTCAAAATTAAATATACTCTTTTTTATCTCCTTTCAAACTTTGACTTATTTATTTATTTTCTCGAATAAAATGGAATTACAATTTTAATATATTTTTTTTATTATTTCCCAGTTGTTGTGTATAACAAGGGAAAATATGGCGAGCGCCTCCCAGATTCTTACATTTTTTGGATTCTGGGTTTCATTCAACCTGTTTGAAGACTAATAAATCCCGTGCCTTTTGTCGGAAATTTCTGAAATTTTTCTGGGAGGTTTGCGTATTAGGGGATCGGTGCTACTAAATTTTGGTGGTTAAAGGTCGACGGGGGTGGAGAGATAAAGGGGTCGTGTATATCTCCAGTAGGGTCGATCTAATGACGATTTTACTCGTTATTACCATAATTTTTTTTATAAAACATCCCTACCCTCGAAATTAAGAATTAATAATACGAGATTTTATTTAAAAACTTTATAACAGATGGCGCCACATACAATTTTAACACTTGCGGGGAAAGTTAGGTAACTGTGGTGGATTTTTAAATAGATATTTAACTTATTCACAAATAAAATGGCACAAGCTTTACACGTAGATACATAACGCGGAATTAATATACTTTTCGAGAGGATTATACCCAAGTAAGTGCGCTTAAGATTGATCAATTTAAGCCTGTGTTGTGTCGTGCTAAATACAATTCGACCGCATCGTTAGCAATGTAAAAAAACAGGAATTTTCATAATGAAATTTTAATGGACTCGAAGATTACGCGAATTGATCGAAAGATATGTAATTAAGCGATGAAATTTAAGCCAGAAAAAAAAAAAACATGAGGTGACGAGGACGTCGTTAAAGAACAATTAGAAATATTGTTTTCTCGGAATAAAATTGAAATTGTGTTTCGTAGTCGCAATTACTCGAAACGTATCGATTAAAATGACGAAATTTCTAACGAGACAATTAAAATTTCTCATGGTCACGGTTCGCGTGACAAAGTTTCACACTTTACCGGTAACCAAAGTGAAAAAAATAAAAAGAATCCTTAGTTTGAAATTCCATGGTATTTTACTCGTTTTTATAGGTTAGGTATGGTAAGTGGGCACCCGCAGAGGGGGGCAAACGGGGCACTTGTCCCTCCCTGGGATCGAGGGAAAATTCCCAAATTATAATAGAAACCGTGGAAGGTACTATTGGACCTGACATCGATGCAACACACTATACTATAATCTACTGGTGAAAAAACCCGCAGAAATTAGTTACGTCAATAAACTTTAGTTTCCTTTCATCCTGGAAAATTTTCTGCGGATCCCCCCGTGGTTATGTATAATAAATATGATTATTTAATTAGTGAGAGCGACCTAAAAAGGCTATGATTTAGAATTTGTCACTTAATGGAAGTTTCAATTTGCGACCTTCTAGATCAGTTACACTCTTTTTGTAAGTGTCGAATGGAAAATGACCCGAAGGTGAGTTTTGCTGACGTCACAACGTTGCGTCAGTCTCGCTCTTCTATTCGGTCTCGTAAGAGGAATTTTTTTATGGTGACGTCAAACGTCGGATTTGCCTTTAGAAGACTCGTGGTAATTACCATCTACCTGCGAGATGCGGCATAAAAAGAGCTGGTTTCGATCCAATTGTATTGAAGAAATTCGAAAAAAAAAAAATGTCAAGTAAATGATGGACAGTTACTATAAATATTTCTTCATTTTACGTACTGTATCTGTACGTGAGATATTAAATGATGTTTTCTAGACATTGTCACAGAGAATGACGCTTTGTGAAAATGAATAAACTTAAATATTGACTCTGCTTACAGTAAAATTAAGGTTTATCGGCACGTAAATAACTCTAAAATTAATTTTAAGGGTTATTCTTAAAATTTTGTAATTTTGTAATTCATTCAAATTAATTAAAATTGTAATTTGAATGAAAAAAAAATCATACATACAGTTGAAGTTCGTTAATCCGACGTGCTACAGAGCACTGGTGTTGGTCGTGGGTTCACGCCTGATCACGCGGAGTTTTCCGGGTTTTTCTTCACCTTATTAACACCTAAATAGGGGCCAGTTTCCCTTAGAAACCTCCCAAGACAGATCTCCTCGACGTAAACAAATAAACCAACCTAATGGTAATTACGTCATTCGTCTTTTAAATTATTACTTTATACAGTACACTAAAGCAGATCTGTCCAACTTATCATAGCCCGCGGGCCATATTTTCTTCACCAAACATTTCGAGGGCCAAGAAGGTTGGTGATGGCTAATTGGTCGGCCGGGAATCACGCCACGTGACATTTGCATAGTGCTACGGTCTGTAAGCACTAATTGGTCAGCGAGTCCGATGTTGACGCTATAAAAACGCGACAGTTCGACACACCGGATATACGTCACTCTCGTCTAAGTTCGACTTGGGAATTTTTTTGTTCAATAATAAATGTGAATTCTTCTTCCTGGAAAAAATAAGACCTAGCGCATTTTTCAGAGCAAAAATTAATATAAGACACTGTCTTATTTTCGGGTAAACACGGTAGTAAAATAATTTTAATATTAATAATAATAATTTAGTAACATAAATTTATTCATAGTAAAATGTACTCGCGGGCCGTAAAAATTATTTGGCGGGCCGCCAGTTGGACAGCGCTGAT